ATAAGCATCCATATAACGCCATGCCTTCTGTGCAAAACGACGTATAGTTATGAGTGATACAGTGTCAAGTGCTTCAGGCACAGTAACTTGTAAACGTGCCCATGAATAATCACAATGATCACGTGAATAACATTTTGCAGCGCCCCAGTATCGCTCAATGAAATTCAGCTCACAATGAAACTTGGGATAAAATATACAAACATGTCCTCGTTCAACAATAAGTTTTTCTAATGCTGATTTTTGCATAGTAAAATCAGGTTGTGCAGACAAAAGATGACGCGCACAACAATTAGGTGTATTTGAATCATAATAGTTATTTATACACTTTAGTTTTAAACCACTAGTAGGCCATAAATTGTGTTCAAGAAGTACTTGATAAATTCCTTTTGGTTGATTGCGAAAGACATAATTAGGATCATTAGAAGGAAGGTTTTCAGGAAAAATCACTGATTGAGTAACTTGTTCACCTTGTGTATTAATAAACCAGCCGTCACGTAATCTTGACTGTTTACCACCGGGGTAAAGGTTCATTTTTTTAGCACATAATGCATCACTTGCAAAAGCACTATGGTTGGTACTGTTATCAAATGCAAAGACACCAACGCAGTTTGGATGAATTGCTTTGAAAATAGGAATTGCTTTATTAGCTACTTGTGTAAGCAAATCTGAAGCATTCCACCAACCATTATCATGTTTTCCTGGTTTGATAATTTCGCGAGCCTCTTGTGGAAATGTTGATAGTAGGTTTAATTCATTTATTTCTGCAGAAGTAATTGTAAGGCGACCACGAGTTTCAGTTAAAAATTCTGAAATCATAAGTGCTTTACCCATTCCCTTTTGCGTAATGGCAGCATACCAAGAGGAGCCCATACTGAAGGATGACCATCATTAGCATAGAATGTACACTCATCGTAAGTAACAAAAATATGCATTTTTTCTCCTTTATTTAATTCAGGATTTATAACTATTTCCATGTTTTCGCCAACAAATTGTGGCATTAATTGTTCAAAATTTTTCATTCTTTCAAGAAATACAGCACGATATTGTACAACATCAGG